GAAAATTGGATCTGAGCTCCTTGCCTTCCTTACACCACGGCATCTGGTCCTGGTTGGCATTATACAACTAAGAAAGAGAGATGCTGGCCAAGCAGGGCCACGATAGCCTGCAGGGCAAATCTGAGATGCCAACAGGCATGCCGTCAAAAAGAAAAAAGTGAATTGTTGCAAATACAGTTGGGATCAAATTTACCACGCTATCATTTGATCTCCTTTATGTTTGCTCTATTTTTAAGTATTTTCTGCTTTCATTTCAGTTGAGGGTTTTGTCTGTTTTACTTTGTTATTCTCGTCCGTTTTTGTTTGCTTGCTTTGTAATGTTTTTCTGTATATGAAATCCAGGATAGGTAAATCTATAGAGATGGTTACTGGATTCATGGTTCCTTGGGGGGTGGGGGGTAGTCACTTAATCTGGTGTCAATTTAAGGATTAAGAGTGTAGAGGTGGAGTCTAGGCTGTCAATCTGGAGATAGCCAATGAGACTTCTGTGTGGGCATGGCCTTCTCCTGAGAATACTGGGAAATCTGGTACTTCCTCCTTGGAGGTGGAAGACCTCTCTCTCTCTCTCTCTCTCTTTCTCTGCCACCCCCTGGGAGACGCTGCAGAAAGCAAGCCACATGGATGCAACCAGACCTCTGAAGCCGGAGAAGCCACAGAGAGAGCCCTGCCAGCTGAGATGCTTACAACGCCACTGGACCCAAAGACTTTCTACCCACTGGCTTGTGACTGTCCTGCATTTGGCTTCGTTGCATGTGTTTTGTGAGTCTGAAGAGGACTTTATAGATTGGTATCGGACATATAGGCTAATATCAGACTTATGGCCTTGGACTGGATAGGATGAGGATGTTTTCTCAATGTTCAACCACTCTTGTATATAAAACTCTTTCTTATACACATAGGTGTGTCAATGGATTTGTTTCTCTAGTCTACGCAGACTAACACAGGGTGTGACAGAGAAGGCTGGAAGGAAACGGGAAGCTAATAATGATGAGGACAAGAATGAAGAAAATGTTCTAGAACTGATTGTGGTGATGTGATTGGACTACTGAACTGTCTGATAGGTGAATTATATGCCAATAAAACTGTTGGAACAAACCAACAAAAAAAGACCGAGGTCTTCCAATCAAGTATCAAGGTCCAGCCTGGGGTTAGGCAAGAGAAGACAATATGTCCAGAAAACCCAGGTAGTGAATTCTATAGTGAAAAAAAGAGAACTCAGGTAGCTGGCAAGTTGGGTAGGGCAGAGGGGAGACAGCAGACGCCAGTCCTGACCCTTTGTGGTCTGAGCCCTCCTCTCAGAAGGGGCTTTCTATCCCATAACGAGTTCCCCGGAAACTCACAGGGGCAGTTCTGCCCTTCCCCCCAGGGGCACCAGGACTATGAGTCAGCATTGACTCCAATGGTCCTGAGTTTCCTTTTTATTTTGGCTTCACCTATAAAAAGATATGGGTGGAGTCCAACCTACCTATCAGGTCACAGCCGAAAGACAGGTCCATGGAAGTGGGGCCTCTTTAGGAGACCCTGCGGAGCGCTCGTCTCTCCCCTCCTGCCCTTCTCTTTCCTGCTACTGTGGATCCTGTGTCTAGCTTTTGGGGCTGGCAGTCCATATTTTCGGTGGCCTGCCATGTTCTTGTCAACCTTGGAGCCATATGATCTGGCCTTTGCTCTCCCAGCTTCGCCTTTCTGCTTCATTGACAGCTGAACAAGGCTGGAGGGGCCTCCAGCCAGCATCTGACTCAGGGACTTAGACTGCACTGAGCTGGGCCGTTTCCTTGATACACATGTCTTTCTTGAGATAAAGTGCTTTCTTACATAGATGAGTAGCATTGGTTTGGGTCCGCGAGGAAACCCACCTGAACACAGGCCTATGCAGGCTTCAGCCCATGCCTTCATGGGGCAAATAAAGCCTGACTCTGGATCTACTGTCTAGTCTACAACATCCCCAACCAACACCTATTCTGCTACCTGGTTTCCTGCCCTGAGATCCTCGAGGGACCAGGAAATCACCTGGGTTGGGGGAGATGGAAGGAGGAGAGTAAGATATGGCAAAGGGGCATGGGGGGAAGCTAAGAAAAGTAGAGTATCATACACAATAAAGGCACCTTCACCTAAACTTTTAAATCTGTTCTGACTCACAGCGACCCTACAGGTCAGCGGAGTAGAACTGCCCCTGTGGGTGTCCAAGACTGTGACCCTTCGTGAGAGTAGAAAGCCTACTCTTTCTCCCACAGAGCAGCTGATGCTTGCGAACTACTGACCTTGCCGTTAGCTCCCCAACGGCATCAGGACTCCTCAGTGACGTCATACTGCACCTTACCACCTGCACCGGGCCCTAACATTGTCTGCACCAAGAGGACTGGGGGAAAAAATAGGCTTCTAGTGCCCTGACTCTCCAAGATTTCTCGCCACGGTGTTATGGTTTACCTGGTCTCCAAAAAACACCAGCTGACGGCAATCTAACCTGCTCCAGCTCATGGCCACCCCCACGAGTTTTCAATGACTCGGTTTCTGTTTTGTTTGTTTTTAAAGTAGACTGAGGTGCCTCTGGGTGGATTCTAAGCAACCAGCCTTCTGTTTCGCCATTTTTGTGCTCTTAGGAACTCCACATGGGGGTCCTCATGCCAGATCGTTGAACCAGGGTCAGGAGTCCGGAAGAGGAGCAAGTCTGAGTTGTTAGGGTTGGGTGTATTTTGAGCTGTTCGTTTCTAGGCAGCTTGAAAAGGAGCCTTTGCTTGAAAAGTGTTACGGAGTCGCGCCCAACAAAAGACCACTGACCCACAAGCAGCTGCAAAGTAACAAGGCAAAAAGTTTATTAGAGAAGAGCAAAGGTTTACTAGAGAAAAGGAGAAAAAGCAAATCCGGATTTGGGCTACAGCATGGCCACGCAGGGTCCAAACTGAAGCAACCGGCCCAAGTTTCTTAGCTCTTTTTATACACTTAAAACCAGTAAGGAGTAAGGAGGGGGGAGTGTGTAAGGAATGTGGAAGGGTGTCTGCATAGGATAACAAGATGTGGGCAGTTTGGCCTGCCCAGCTTATCTTGGTCCAGGTCCGCTCGTAAAACTTTTTCTAGCTGACATTTACAAGCGGTGGTTTGCAGGGTCACAGTGGCTTACTCTTATGACTTGTTTTTCATCTGCTAAAGATAACATAGTTTTACTTTTACAACTTATTTTTCTAAAAACAACATTTTCTTCTTAGGGCTGGGGGGGGGATGACCTTTAGACTCTTCAAAATGGGGTAGCTTAAGTTAAGCTCTTTTATTCTATTGAGCCTTAACAAAAAGGAGCCTTTGCTTCAACCGCGGGCTGCAGAGTACAGAGCTGAGGCTATCTATCTGTACAGCAGGAGGTGGAGGGGAACCAGGCTTCCAGGGGTTCTCAGAGTGCCTGCCAGGTGGCAGGGGCTAGAATTAGAACCCTCCCTGGGATTCCTGAAAAAAACAAAACAAAACAAAAAACAAGATGTCTAGCCTCAGAAACCCTTTGTAGCGGGGTTCTTCGGTTTGCTTTGCTTTCGGAGGCCCTGAAATGGGGCCCTGGTGGCGCCGTGGTTAAGCACCGGGCTGCGATCTCCAGGTGGGGCCCGCCAGCAGCTCCTAGGGAGAGGGGTGTTGTCAAGAGGCGCCTGGTGGGTTTACTGCCTTGGGAACGCGGTGGGCAGTCCTACTAGGTCCCGCGGGCTCTGCGTTACGTTAGAGTGGACTTGAAGGCCATCCTGTGCATTTGCGTAGCCTGGTCCTTTATTGGGGGGGTGGGTGGGGAAGGGGTACTCCAAAGCAGCAGCGGTCCCAGGCTAGGGACAGAACACACCTCAAACTCACTGCCCTCCCCGGGGTCCCAGCCCAGAAAAGTGGAGACGCTCACCATTTTACCTCTGGCCCCTTTTCCTCTTAACGCCCCTCGCCCCCCCGCCCCCGAAGGTCTGGAAACTCCAGAAGTGGTGTCCTCGTTCTTGCTCCCTCCAGCCGCGAAGCTCCTGCCAGGGGGAGGAAGGGCCACCCTTTGGTCTCACCCGACCTAAATCTGCTCTACCATCTCCCCTTTGCGCTCCGAAGGGCCAGCGCGGCCCTTTCCCAGAGGCCTGCTCCGGGAGCGCAGGTTCAGGCTAGTCTAGGGCGGGGACTTGGGAGTGCCTTCCAGTAGCGAAAAGGGCGGGGACGGAGACCCATCTCCTTAAAATCTGGAGTTGGCCCACAGGTGCCTAGACACCGTGGGTGGCGTGGGGAGGTCGGGACTGGGCTCCCGCTCGCCGGCGCTGTTGGCCGAGGCGCCATGGGCCGCTACCGCATCCGTGTGGCCACTGGGGCCTGGCTCTTCTCGGGGACGCACAACCGCGTGCAGCTGTGGCTGGTCGGGGCGCGCGGGGCGGCGGAGCTGGAGCTGCAGCTGCGGGCGGCGCGGGGCGAGGTCAGCGGCCGGCGGCGCCGAGCCGGGGCCGGCGGGGCGGGCCTCGAGCGGGGGGCGGAGGGCCGGCGGGAGCGCGGAAGGCTGCTGGTGACCGTCCCCCGGGCCTTCCGGGGCGTTGGGGCGCCGACGCAGGAGGGGGGACGGGTCGGCCAGGAAGGCGGATCTCGGGATGGAGACACTGCTCCCAGCGCTGACTCCGACTCCTCCTCCGGGTGAGCCCGGAGCCCGTGCCCATCGGCCACCGGTGGCCAGACGAGCCATTGCTCCCCTGGAGGGGTGACTGGTCTCTACACACCGGTTCCAGACACGGACGCCAGCCCCACGCAGCCCCTCTGGTCCTCCCGGGGCCCCCGCCCCGGCCCCGCGATGCAGGCTTCCCTGAGCTCCGGATGGGGTGATGAGGTCCAGGGAGGCCCTGCGAACCGGAGGCTCACTGGAGGGGCTGCTGGCCGTCACCAAACGCCCCTTCTGAGCGCCCTGCTGCTAAGCCTTGGCCGTCCCCGCAGGAGGAAGAGTTTGAGCACGACGTCTCGGAGGACGTGGGGCCGCTGCAGTTCGTGCAGTTGCGCAAACACCACTCTTTGGTGGACGACGCGTGGTTCTGCGACCGCATCGTGGTGCAGGGCCCGGAGGCCAGCGCGGAGGCGACCTTCCCGTGCTACCAATGGGTGCAGGGCGAGGGCATCCTGAGCCTGCCAGAGGGCACCGGTGAGAGGGCAGGGGCAGGGAGGGATGCCGGGCCTTGGAAACTTCTGGAGGGGGCAGGATGGAGCTAAGGGAAGTTGCGGGGAAACTAGAGAAGGGCTGGACGGAGGCAAGATGCTAGGGAATAAGTTGAGTGACCATAATAATGACGGTGTCCCGAATGTTTGCGCGGGCTACCAAAGACAGGGCCAGGAACTCCGCGATCTGGCATTCCGTCTTCGCGAAGCTGAGGACGGGAGATGAGACTTGCTGCAATGATGAGAAACAGGCGAGTCAACGTAGGAACATGATCTCGGGGTGACTCACAACCAGCAGGGGCAGGGACAAGTCAGGGAGCCCGGGGACCTGGAGGCGATGGGTAAGCAGGTGACAAGGAACATCGAAGGGGCAAGCACGAGGGCTTTGGCGAGCTCGGGGAAAGCCACGGAAGACAACGGTAGAACCGGAGAGCCTATTGACAGGGTGCAGGAAGGAACAAAGGTGAGAAACAAGCAGGCCAGATGGATACAGAGAGAACTGAGGGGAGGGGTCTGCATGGACATGCACAGAAGGTCTCTGTCTATTGGGGACAAAGGAGCAAAATACAAAGAAAACCACTAAGCATAGGTTATCCCGGTAAAACCAGGACAGGTGAGCCAGGCAGAGGAAGCAAACATGGAGAATCCTGGAGACACGTGAAGGTATGGACAGGTGAGGCCAGGACCTGTGACGTTAGCAAAGCAATTATGTAATCCAAGACAGATTTGAGCATATGCTGGTTTAAGACATTAAACCCTCCCCCCAAACAACAACAACAAGTGATTGATCCAGTCATCAGTATTGATGAAGTATGAGCAGAGCAGGTAGGATAGAGGAAGAGGCGATAAGGAACAAGAAGAGGTGTCAACCGTGACATGTTTTGTCTCATGGCAAGAAGTGACACCTTGTCTCATGGCAAGAAGTGAGGGCCTGAGAGCGGTGAATCAGGAGTGTGAGACAAAGACAGGGCTAACATGTCTGGAGATCAATCAAGTGCAGCAGGTGAGATAAAAGCCCCGGAGCAGGACTATAAACAGAGGAGGCTGACTTCAAAGGGCCAGGAGACAGCAGGGGGATAGCGTTAAGACCAGACAAGCAGTGTGGTGAGTCCTCTTAATGCCTCCCCAGCCTGCCTGGCAGGAAACAATGCCTTGGACGTGTTCCAGAGGCATCGGGAGAAGGAGCTAGAAGACAGACAGCAGACCTACCGGTGACCACCCACCCTCAGACCTCCCAACTGCCCATCCTCGCCTCGCCCCTGGCCCCATCACTGACCCTCCCCCCTTTCCTGAATCCCCACCCCTAACCCCTAGCTGGGCCTCCTGGAGGGACAGATTGCCCCTGACCATAGCTGCAAGCACTACGGATGATCTACCTCTAAATGTGAGATTCCACGAGAAGAAGCGGCTGGACTTTGAATGGACCCTGAAGGCAGGGTGAGGAGGGGGCCAGGGTGGAGGGCTGGCAGCTCCCAGAATGGGGGCAGAACGTGATGAAAGGCGGAGGGGGCGGATGATGGCCTCTAGCTTTCAAACCTATTCCCAGGGCTCTCGAGACCATCCTCAAACGGGTTTATACCCTCCTGAGCTCCTGGGACCACTTGGAGGATTTCAATCAGATCTTCTGGGGCCAGAAGAGTGTGCTGGCTGGTCAGTGACTCCTCACATCTTCATAACCCCCAGATGGCTCCTTCTGATGACCCATCCCACCCCTCAACCCTCCCACCCCCAGAGTCCCCTGTCCAATAAGAACTTATCATGCCTGGTCATTTCACAAAGGCTTCCAATGTAAAGGCAGGGTTGAGGAGGGGTGGTCATTATGCCTGGACCCAGGCTGTGGTCAATATACTTCTCGGTACCCTCTAGAAAAGGTTCACCAGTGCTGGCAGGATGATGAGATCTTTGGCTATCAGTTCCTCAATGGTGTTAACCCCATGGTGTTGAGACGCTCCGCATCTCTGCCCTCCCGGCTAGTGCTGCCTTCGGGAACAGAGGCGCTCCGGGCCCAGCTGGAGCAAGAGCTCCAGGTACTCCTCCCACCCTCGGCTTCCTTCTCCTGGTTCCTGTGGCCAGGATCACTGGTAAAGGGGAGGAAGCACAGATAAGTGCAAGGGGAGGGAGGCTGCAGGAACCCACTGTCCTCGATGCAAGGTCTTGGGCATCTAGAAAAGTCCAGAGATGATCGAAACATACAGGAAAAGCTGCAAGGAGCTCCCTGCATGCATGGTGATAGCAGATGCAGTCACGGGGCAGACATACTAGGGGACATGGCATTTCTGGCTGGCTATCAGTTCTTCGCCACCAGCATCCATGGGCAGGGAGAAGATGGGCGCGTGTGCTGTTGGGTGAAAGGAATTGAGAACTTGCTGGCTGGGTTTGGATGTAAGGCTGACCCTAGAGAGATAAGTGTGCATGCATGTATGCCTGTGTGCCGGGTGGCAGCGGCAGCTAGGGGACCCTCCCTCGACTCCTTGCAGATGTGGGCAGGGAAAGGCAAGGAGCAAAGGAGGCTTGCTGGGCTATTACACAAGTAATAGGCCATAAAAGATGAGGATGTGGTGGGGGAAAGGGTCCAAAGAGATAGCTTGGCAAACACTTCCTGTGGCTCTCACTTCAGATGGGTTATTCCACATCCCAGAGCAAGACGGCTCCCCTTGCTGGGCTTGTTTTATGCCTGAGCATTGGACCGAAGCATCATTCGGGTTTTGCCACTAGGATTCTGGCACCAACACAGACTGATTACAAGAAGTGAGGCTTGATTCCTTCACGAGTCTTGCCCTTTGCCTGTTTTCTGGAGGACACTGCGTGCTAACCCTGGACACCCCTCCTGTCCACAGAACAATTCCTTGTTTGAGGCTGACTACATTCTGCTGGATGGGATTCCACCCAACGTGATCCGAGGACAGAAGCAGTACCTCGCTGCTCCCCTTGTCTTGCTGAAGATGGACCCCCGTGGGAAGCTGCTACCGCTGGTCATCCAGGTGCATGCTCCCCTCACAACACTGTTCTCTAGTCCTGTCACCCTCTGCTCCAAGGACCCAGGCACCCACAAACCCCAACTTCACTCGGCACCCGTGTCCTCAAGTCACTCCATATTTGCTGGCAGCCTGGTTTTCCCTGACTCACTCAACTGGAATTACTTGTTCACTAGTCTTAATGGCCTTTTGGGGTTCTTATCCGGTAGCCCAGTGGTTGTCAGAGTCTAGTGTGCCTCCTCCGAATCAAGCTGAAGGGCTTGTTTCAACACAGGTGTCAGCCCCAACCCTGAGACTCTGATGGAGTAGGTCTGGGATGGGGCCTGAGCACCTCGTTGCTAGCACATTTTTTTTAAAATCATTTTATTAGGGGCTCATACAAGTCTTATCACAATCCATACATACATCAATTGTGTAAAG